TGGTCTCGTTAGTGGAGCACTTCAACAGACTAATGGTTGGGAGTGGTACGACAATGAGTCTGGAAACAAGAATGGTGCCATCAATAGCCGAAACCCATAAGATCTAAGGAAGTGGTTTTTCCATCTTTCCCTCTATGCTTTGTTATGTTTCAGACAAAACAAAGCCTGGGAGTACACTGAAGGCAGTGGGAGTAAATGATGCCCCATCATTAATTTCAGTTGGAGTGAATTATGTTTCGTTATTGACATCTGTTGGCTAGACTAAACCCCACTGATGGTATCAGTTGGAGGAAAATAAACCCCCAAATGATTGGTGTCAGCAGGAGTAAGAATAAGAATTGTTGTTCAGTGGTTATTTACCCGGACACACATTTTTTTTGCCAGAATTCAGCACCATGCTGCCACTCTGCAAAAGTACCGCATGTCCTGGATCATGTGGGATACAAATATTGTGGGATCTTCTAGGATTGTCCTTCAGGATCTAGGTCATTTGTCAACTATGCTTAAAGTGTTAGTTCACCTTTAAAGAAAAAATGTAAAAGCGAACTAACACCGTAACCCTCCCAAGTCCACCCTGTTGTACCGGGGATGCTGAGCTTTCAGTGCCCACGCAGCTGGTCCAGTGGTCTAGGGATTGGACATCCCAACTCTTGTCCACTTCTGGGATGGACCAGAGCAACTGTGGGTATAGGATTATAATTTTTTTTTTTTTTCTATGGTTGAACTGGATGGACTTTTGTCTTTTTTCAGCCAGACTAACTATGTAACTATATGGCGCCGACCAATCAGAATCGCTCTGGGTCTTCCTGGAAACACAGCAGAGAGAAGAGGGAGAAGAGCGGGATTCCATATTTTTCAGACCGCTGGACTGGCTGGGTGGGCACTGAAAGCTCAGCATTCCCAGAGGTAAGTACAGTAGAGACTGGGTGGGTGCAGGCTATTAGTTCACTTTTTCTTTTTTCTGAAAAGGTGAACTAACATTTTAAGGAGCTTGAAGCTTACCGATAAAAAAAAACTGCGTATAGGAGGTGCTTATATAAAAACAAAAAATGGATTCTTAACATTATTTTATAACAATTTTAGGGACAATTATTTTAAAAGTCATCAAAGTCAAGCAGAGGGCTATAATGCTGATAAATCATACATCCCACTTTGACGAACTGCTGCCATTTTGTTGTAGCCAATCCATTTTGTTGTAGCACAGACAGGAAGTAGCAGCTAATGTAACAGGAAGTTCCAGGTTAAGGGCTGACATAAGAGGAAGTAGAAAGCGGACATTAAAGTTGCTGGCAGCAGGTAATGTTTTTTTCTTTTACAGCCGGTACTGTAGCTCTAGTTTATAATACGGGTAGGGTGGCCACCTCATCCCTTTAAAAATGAACACGTATGAATTACACGGGTTCTGTGGCTGATTACGGGGGGCAATTAATCTCAGTTAATACCTTATGTCCATTAAATTAACCTCAGAACCCGTGTTCTGTTTGGTTTTAAAGGGATGAGGTGGCCACCCTAAATATGGGAAACCTTTCGGGTTTCATTCATGTGGTTCTACTAGGATCAGGAACCTGAAGAAACCAACAAAAATTAATTCTCAGATTGCTCCGGTTTGCAGGAAAATGCCCCGGAAATGTTTTCTTTGAGATATCTTTTCGATCTGATGGGACATTTACATGTCCATCTGTAAGTGTGATGAAGATTAGACATGTGCGGTTCGTTGCGTTTTAAATCGAAATTCGGACAAAATAATCCAGATTTCCGAATTATGATAGTAACAAATTTAAACTGTTTCGAAATCATGAAATGCAATTCAGTCTGAAATTTGAATCAAATTCCAAAACAAATTAGAAATACACTGTTCAAAAATATGAAAGGAAATGAAAACCAAAAATCCATCAGATCTGAATGGGGAAGAATCTCCTGCTGGATCTCCATACTGATATAGTTACATATACAGTAGTTACATAGTTAGTCTGGCTGAAAAAAGTCCATCTAGTTGAACCATAAAAAAAAAAAAAAGTTATAATCCTACACCCACAGTTGATCCAGAGGAAGCAAAAAAACCCAGCAAAGCATGATCCAATTTGCTCCTACTGGGAAAAAAAATTCCTTCCTGATCTCCGTAGAGACAATGGACAGAGTAATGTGTTAGGAACATAAGGATGCCCCATCATTTGATGGAAATGAAAATGATCGACCTACAGAGGACTGAATTCAAAGACACCCCGAAAATCAAAGGGAAAAAATGATACAGCAGGCGAGTCCATTTGGCTGAAATGTCATTGCTGCAACTCAGAATGGTCCTCAGTAGTTTGTATGGCCCCCACGTGCTTGTATGCATGCCTGACAATGTCAGGGCATGCTGCTATTGAGATGACGGATGGTATCCTGTGGGGATTTCCTCCCAGATCTGGACCAGGGCATCACTGAGCTCATGGACAGTCTGAGGTGCAACCTGGCGGCATCGGATGGACCGAAACATGACATCCCAGAGGTGTTCTATTGGATTTAGGTCAGGCGAGCGTGGGGGCCATTCAATGGTATCAACTCCTTCATCCTCCAGGAACTGCCTGCATACTCTCCCCACATGAGGCGGGGCATTGTCGTGTAGCAGGAGGAACCCAGGACCCACTGCACCAGTGTAGGGTCCGACAGTGGGTCCAAGGATTTCATCCCGATACCTAATGACAGTCAGGGTGCCATTGTCTAGCCTGTAGAGGTCTGCGCATCCCTCCATGGATATGCCTCCCCAGACCATCACTGACCCACCACCAAAATGGTCATGCTAAACCATGTTACAGGCAGCAGAACGTTCTCCACGGCTTCTGCAGACCATTTCACGTCTGTCACCTACGTGGAATGTATGTTTTCCTTGCTACAGAACATTATTCTTTTGATCAAGTTGTTAAGAGTAAAGTTTTGTTTTAACAAATCAATCCGAAACATATCTAAATACAGTAATAGCTATAGACAAATTCCTGGGATGCTCTTCTGCTGCTGAAAAAAAAATCATTATGGTGGAATTTGGGCAAAGTTTGCATCCAAGAATTACAAAATTCAGCACTTACCCCATCTCACATCACTGAAAAAGACAACCATAAAGTTCTCAGATGACCATTCAAATTCCTCTCCTCAAACGTCCAATGTTCTTCAATATTACCTTCATAGAATCTGATAATTTCCAAATATGATATCATACAATGCTCCTCATAATGCTCTTCATATCATCAGAACTACCCCCATAGCATTCATGTAACCATGCCTGATCTTACTTTTTCCTTACTTCTATCCATCTGTAGAGGACGTCTAGTGGTATGATGGAAGAGGAACGGAGCCACATGACCAAGAAAATATTAGACCTCACGCTGGAGATCATCTGCCTGCTGACCGGAGAGGTGAGGAGGATTCTGGGAGGTCACATGATCCCACTCTTAATTTATAAAACACATAGATGACTGGAGAGGTGAGGAGGATTCTGGGAGGTCTCGTGACACAACTCTTAATTTATAAAACACAAAGATGACTGGAGAGGTGAGGAGGATTCTGGGAGGTCCCATGACACCACTCTAATTTATAAAACACAAAGATGACTGGAGAATTGAGGAGGATTCTGGTAGGTCACATGACACCACTCTTAATTTATAAAACACAAAGATGACTGGAAGGTTGGGGAGGATTTTGGGAGGTCCCATGACACCACTCTTAATTTATAAAACACTTAATTTATAAAACACAAAGATGACTGGAGAGTTGAGGATTCTGGGAGGTCACATGACACCACTCTTAATTTATAGAACACGATGACTGGAGAGTTGAGGATTCTGGGAGATCACATGACACCACTCTTAATTTATAGAACACAACGATGACTGGAGAGGTGAGGAGGATTCTGGGAGGTCCCATGACACCACTCTTAATTTATAAAACACAAAGATGACCGAAGAGATGAGGAGGATTCTGGGAGGTCCCATGACACCATTCTTAATTTATAAAACACGAAGATGACTGGAGAGGTGAGGAGGATTCTTGGAGGTCCCATGACATCAGTGTTGCTCTTTCAATGCAGAGGTTTCCCCTTATGAAATCTGGTGACCATGTGACCATCAATGTGCCTCCACCCGCTTCTCTAAAATCTTTGAGAAACAAGCGGAAGATTGTAGAAGTCACCAAGAAGATCACTGCGCTGCTGACGAGAGAGGTGAGCAATGTGGGAAATTTTGGGACCTTAGCAGATGTGCCTGGATGGTGACATTGTCATTTTGTGTGTGTCAGGTTCCTATAAGGTGTCAGGATGTCACTGTCTATTTCTCCATGGAGGAGTGGGAGTATTTAGAAGGTCACAAGCATCTCTACAAGGACATCGTGATGGAGAATCAGCCACCCTTCATATCAGCCAAAAAACCCTTTAACTGTCCCTACTGTGGGAGATGTTTTTTTAGACGATCGGAGTATGTCAAGCACGAGAGAGTTCACACTGGAGAGAGACCTTTTCGGTGTCAGGAGTGTGGGAAATGTTACACCAGTCAGGCAGTTCTTATCAAACACAGGAAACTCCACAAGGGAGAAAAGCCATTTTCATGTTCAGATTGCAGCAAATGCTTCAGCCAGAAGCCCCACCTTCTTCGCCATCAGATGCTTCATACCGGCGAGAAGCCTCTTACATGTTTGGACTGCGGGAAGAAATTCTCACGTAAATCGAGTCTGATTGACCATCAAAGAACTCACACGGGGGAAAAGCCTTTTGGCTGTCTTGAGTGCGGTAAAAGTTACAACCACAAGTCCAACCTGATCCGTCACCAAAGGTCTCATCGAGATAAAAAGACTGTGAGCTGTTCAGAGTGTGGGAAACTATTTACCCATGAGGACTTTGTGATACACCAGAACATTCACCGAGGGGAGGAGCCATTTACTTGTTCTCAGTGTGGCCAGTATTTTACTCAGAAAGATGATCTTCTGGCCCACCAAAGACATCACATGGGAGAACATATCGGACTTTTCTGATGCCAAAAATATGTTTTGAGCTTCTTGAGACTTTTTAAAAGCTGGAGATTTCAGAGGCCGTATCTTCAGCTACAGAATGTTCAATGGAAACCTCATTGAACCATAGCATTCACCCCCGAGGATAGACAGGTTCTCCCAAGGTAGCTCAGAGACTACCAGTCACAAGCACAGTTCCATGCATACTACCAATACAGACTCAGTCTAGGGCAGTGTTTCTCAAACTTTTTTCAGTCAAGGCACCCTTTAAAATTATGGACAGTCCCGAGGCACCCTTTAAAATTATGGACAGTCCCGAGGCACCCTTTAAAATTATGGACAGTCCCAAGGCACCCTTTAAAATTATGGACAGTCCCAAGGCACCCTTCAAAATTATGGACAGTTCTGAGGCACCCTTTAAAATGATGGACAGTCCCGAGGCACCCTTTAAAATGATGGACAGTCCTAAGGCACCCTTTAAAATGATGGACAGTCCCGAGGCACCCTTTAAAATGATGGACAGTCCCGAGGCACCCTTTAAAATGATGGACAGTTCCAAGGCACCCTTTAAAATTATGGACAGTTCTGAGGCACCCTTTAAAATTATGGACAGTTCTGAAGCACCCTTTAAAATTATGGACAGTTCCGAGGCACCCTTTAAAATTATGGACAGTTCTGAGGCACCCTTTAAAATTATGGACAGTCCCGAGGCACCTTTTAAAATGATGGACAGTCCCGAGGCACCCTTTAAAATGATGGACAGTCTTGAGGCACCCCATTCTAAAAAGTGAAACACTATTCTAATAGTTTTATGTAACGCAGCAACATCCACACATGTAGGACACCCAACATTAGAGGTGATTTATTCTTCCAAAGCCAATACACTTTTGCACACTGGTACTGACTAGTATTCCCACGTTTCTGCTCTCCCTCAGTTTTTTCTCCATCACTGAGCTAATGTGACCCCCAGCACTGACGAAGGGGGGCACGGGAGGGTCAAATTAGGATGCTGTGCAGGCCGATGACATCCTCCCCAACTGATGATGTCATTGATTGTCAGGACGCCGGCGGCTAGAAGGTCATATTGGCGCACAATAAAAACCTATGGCTTTGTGTAACTAAAAGGCAGGCTTGTTCCACCCGCTGGCTTATATACAGTTTATAGACATTTTGCCAAGGCACCCCTGAAGAAATCTCAAGGCACCCCTGAAGAAATCTCAAGGCACCCCTGAAGAAGCCTCAAGGCATCCCAGGTTGCCTTGGCACCCTGGTTGAGAAAGGCTGCTTTAGAATTGTACACGATTATGGGGGGGCACACCATTCTGAGGGCTTGTTCACACAAGTAGGTGCGTCTGAGTGCTAGCGCTTTTTTTTTTGTGTGCACTTTTTCCTGCATGTTGCATTTTTTTAATAGGCTGTTCTATGCGCGTAAAACACAGTGCTGGCATGATTTTTAAATTGAGCACCACCAGAATGCAGGGTACCATGTGCTTTAGTAGGTACAGATGTACATGCAATTGGTGGATGTGCAGAAGGTAGAGCATTTTTTGTGCGCTGCAGGAAAACTCTTGATTTCACATGCATTCTTGCATTGTGAAAAAGTCATAAAATGTAGTTTGTAAAGCAAATCCCTCCTGCTAGCACAAATTCCCCCCCCCATCTCCTGCAGGTGGGAGGGGGGATTTGTGTAGGACTGTGCAGGGTTAGAGTACTGCCCCCAACCCATGGGACATGAGCAGCCTGGGGAGGAGATAGGTGGAGGTAATCAAGCCCTTTACAGTCATGAAAGGGTTATTATTTTAACATCTGTGTACAGAAAGGAGGCTATAGCGCGGTCAACAAGTGGTTAAGAGCAGGTACAGTCCAATAAGTAACCTCTGGCACTTCTGTTCCCTTCTGGCACTCGCACACCCAAGAGTCGAAAGCAAGGTCTTCACTCACCCCCAGGAGCTGACTACTATCCAGCATCCACAGGCAGTTCTTCAGTGAGGGAGACAAAAGATCCTTCTCCAGACCAGGACTCCACGAGGATGCCCTACAGCAAATAATTGTTTAGCAATCTTCTCCAGGCCCACTGCCCAGCACCTGCTAAGGCCCAGACTGCAATTCCTTGTCTCACTAGCTATGTCCCAGGGGCAGCAGCCCCAGGAGAACTGGAACACTCCCTGGAGATGAAAGACTACTCTGCCCAGGCCTCCCGAACATTTATCACCTCCCAAGCCACCATCTGGATGCCTCCTTCCAGGGATTGGCTGGAGTATAATAAATATTTATACTGAAGATTTGACTTTCCCTTCTCCATATTTTGAAAGCTTCTTCTAGAAACAGGTAAGAGAAATCAAACACCCAGCTTAGGAAGCCCTGACCGGACAAAAGCAATAGATTACTGTTCCACTGACTGCAGTAAAGCCAAAAATCAGATTTCGTCTAACAGCCAAACTGGAAGAGGGCGCTACATCGAAAAAAAAATTCCAACCAACATCAGAAAAGAAACAAGGATATGGAAATCTTGAAAGTACTGTGAAGGGCAGCTAATTTATTAAGAAATATTATCAGGTATATCGACGACGTTTATAAGCTGTAATTGCAGTAAGCCTCTGAGGACATTTAAATGAATATGTTAGGATTAATAACCATCCATCTACACAACTACAGCATGTCCTTACTGTTACTCCTTTTACTTTTATTAGATATTTATGCCAATGTTGTAACAGGAAAATTGCATTTGAAATTTATAAACTTCTCGAATAAATAGTGTGTACAGCAAACAAATAGAACATTATTGTATGTAATGTATGTATTGAATATTTATTTAGAAGTACAATGGTACAATGAGTCTTGTTTAAAAAAGGAAAAAAAAGTTTTAACGTGTTTTGTGTTACGTGTTTTTTCTTTCAGTATATCTTTTCAATAACCACTACTTTTGGTTATACTTTCAAGTAGACAAATCAGCAATTATAACAAAAAAAATTTTTTTCCGCACTGGTTATTTAGGCTGAATAAAATATTTAAATATTTTTAGAATTCATTTTGACTCTTTACAATATCTACACCTGATATCAATGTTTCCCAACCTCAGTCCTCAAGTACCCCAACAAGTCATGTTTTCAGGCCTTGATTTAACGTGCACTGGTGCTTTAAATCAATATCAATGGCTTGGTATTTATAACAGCTATTGTACCTAAGAGGAAATTCCCAAGTAATGGCCTGTAGGGAGTACTTGAGGAATGAGGTTGGTAAACGCTGCCTTATACTTGTATGTATTCAATTTCTTGGTAACACAAAATGCTTATAAGCACATGGCGGCAACTCACTGCATTTAGGCATCTAAACATGGTGAAGATGACTTGCTAAAGTTCAAACCGAGCATCAGAATGGGGACGAAATGGGATTTAAGTGACTTTGAATGTGGCATGGTTGCTGGTGGCAGACGGGCTGGTCTGAGTATTTTTCTAAAACCGTTGATCTACTGGGATTTTCGCACACAACCATCTCTAGGGTTTATAAAGAATGGTCCGAAAAAGAGAAAATATCCAGTGAGCGGCAGTTGTGTGGAGAAAAATGACTTGTTGATGTCAGAGGAGAATGGGAAAACTGGTGCGGCTGTGAAATTCAGATGGTAGGGTCAGAATCTGGCGTAAACTACATTAAAGCATGGGTCCATCCTGCCTTGTTCAGGCTGGTGGTGTAATGGTGTGGGAGATATTTTCTTGGCACTAGCAAGGTGAACCTAATAAAGTGGCCAGTGAGTGTATATGCTTCCATAATGTTTGAGAAGATCGAAGGAACCAAGCAAAGAGGGAGACCAACTACTAGGTGGTTGGATACATTGACTAAAGCTGTGGGAATGACACTGGAGGATCTCACCAGACTAGCACAAAGCCGACTTCTCTTTAGAACTCTCATTCATCAAGTCGCTAGGACTTGGACCCGAGGTGATTGCACTTAATGATAAAATAAAATTATGCTTCCAGCTAATATGAAGACAAAAGTTCTTTTGATATTTAGAAATAAGGTCTATTGTTAGGGATGGACCAGGGACCTTTCATGTAGGGTTGTGATTAAGGATTTGAGTTGTATGTAATAAAAGGATATTTTTACTCGACAATGGTTCCTGAACACACTGAGCAACCCATCACCATGGGGGTGTATATGTCATCAGTACAACATGGACTGGTAACACTGACTCATTTGCAGCTCAGCCAAATTGGAACTGAAGGTAAACTGGTTTTTACTACAGTAGGAAACTTCAGCTACATAAAAGTGAGGTCACCACAAAAGTCATGAAGTGTCCTATTACTGCTGGAAGAAAAGAGGGAGAAACTTTTCCAACACAATCTTAGATGGGTCCCAGGACCCTCCAGGGTACCTCCAGTCCACAAACCACCTTTGAAGAACACCATGATTAGCAGGTGTAGGTGAAAGGTAATAAAAATTGGCTTTTTATAGTAAGTGCTGTGAAAATGTTTTTTTGTCAGCTTTTGGGTACAGTTTTTTGTCAGCTTTTGGGTACAGGTCCAAAGAAATGGCAGGAGATTTTGTCAAATGGGAGTCAGGCACTCATGAGTCTTGGTTCAGTTCCTAATAACTGTCTTGGGAAATTGACCGATGTGCTTTGTTGCATTCCAGGTATTTGACATAGGCTCCTTGGACAATGTTCTTCCTTGGGAATTGCTTCTAGCTGACTTAGTAGAAAGGGAAACATGGGTCATAGAGGTTGTATAGGTGGCTAGGCCAGAACACAAAGAGCCTCTCTTTGCCACATCCAAATGTCCCATCATTGGTGGTAGATTAGTTTAAGATGATTGTTAGGTGTGCTTTCTGTATAACAGCGAAGAATGGTAGTCAAATCAGAGAAGGCTCCCCCATTCAGGTCTGCTTGTCAAAGAGGCTTCCACTGTTCCTTCTGGGTAAGTGCCTCATTCCCTGTGGGTGCTTTGTTTGCAATCAGGTCTGATTAGGGTAGCTTTGTTCACATGCAACCCGTGACCTAGTTACCAGTTTTCATGATCAGGTTTGTGCCAGGGCTATGAGGGTTGGGGATATCCCTGCATGCTTCCTTTGCCCTAGCAAGTCCCAGTCTCAAACTCCAGGGGTGCTCATACGGGAATTGTACAAGAGGCCACCCTCATCATCTTTTAGTCTCCTAGTCTCCAGACAGGTGGTCATCTGTTTCGGCCCCTATTTCAGTTTTTACGTAATAACCCCAGCAAGACTGTAAACAGAGTTTTTTGTCAGCTTTTGGGTACAGGTCCAAAGAAATGGCAGGAGATTTTGTCAAATGGGAGTCAGGCACTCATGAGTCTTGGTTCAGTTCCTAATAACTGTCTTGGGAAATTGACCGGTGTGCTTTGTTGCATTCCAGGTATTTGACATAGGCTCCTTATTCTTATCCTGGTGACATGACCTGGGATCCTCGCTGTTGTCCTAGAAATTAACCTGGGCTCCTCACTGCTGTCCAAGGAATTGACCTAATTGACCTGGGTTTCTCATTGCTTTTATAGACATTGACCTGGGTTTCTTATTGCTTTCCTAGACATTGACCTGGGTGTTGTCATTGCTTTCCTAGACATTGATCTGAGTGCCTCATTGCAGTCTTGGAGTATGACCTGGATGCCTCATTCTAATCCAGAGTATTGACCACGGAATCTCTTTACTGTTAAATTATTTACCATGGGTTCTTCATGGCTGTCCTAGGAATTGTCCTGGGTTTCCCATTGTTGTCCTGGGAAT